TGGTGAGGGTGAGGAGCACTTCCCTTTAGAATTTATTTCTTTTTTTTTCTTAAAATAATTTTCAGGGGAGGGATAAGTTTCATTATCTGGGGTCAGTGTCCCTTTCCTTTTTTAAAATTTTGATCTTGTTTTTCTATTTTGAGAATAAGGTTTATTTGCTTTGGTGAGGGTGGAGCATCTCCATTTAGGAATGGATGCTTTCTTTTTCTAATCCTTAAAATTATTTTTTGTCCACTGAGGGAATTACAGTTGGCGGGCTTTGGAAAGGTTAGGCACCCCATCCCTAGCAGAATTTCTATTTATTTTCTTTCTCCAAAAAGGTCTTCTTTGGGAGAAGTAGGTTCAGGGTCTTCTGCCTCTTCCCCTTCCTTCTCAGGCTCCTGTTCTATGGTGGCGTCAGATGGGGAACAGCAATCACTGCTTCGGAAAAAATCAGGGCCAATGGAATGTCAGCTTAAAGATTGTTCTTAGACAAATTAGGATCGTATGTATCACAGAAAGCCGTATGTTGGATATTTTAAAGAATCCACAGTAGATAAATTAACAGTTATATCCTATTAGGTGTCAAGTTTTATTTTTTCCCTCTCCCATTCTGCTGCCTTCTTGAGGAAAATAAAAGAGTTAATAATGCAGAGGAAAGCATCCTGCAAACTGTAAAGTGACTAGCCAAAGGAATTATATAATCCTTATTATAATGTCCCTGAATGGTTTCCTGGCCTCTATGGATTTTTTCCCTTTCCTTGGAAGCACTTTGGGTAATGGCTCAGCCTTTCCTTTTGGGCTGCAGATCTGCAGAAGCCCCAGTCAGAGATTTTAATAAACACATAAGAGTTCTATGCTCAGAAAAGAAAGACCACTGACCAAATATCTCATCTTTTCTAGAACATCCTGCAGCAAATGCTCAAGCACTTTCAGAATATACCAAATAAATCAGATGGTATTATCAAAACCTGGCAAGGAGGGGGGAAAGAACCTAAGAGAAAAGAAAGTAATTTCATCCTGACCTTCAACAGGTTAAACATTCGAATCTACAATTCCGAAGCTGTATATAGTCACTGCAGATATTCTTTCACCTATGAAAAAATTTATTACCTCTGAAACCAACAACATCATCATTAGTCTGCTGCTGCTGGGACTGCAAGGGATAAGGACACTTTCCAAACCTTTTTTTTTGGTGAGGAAGACTGGCCCTGAGCTAACATCTGTTGCCAATCCTCCTCTTTTTGCTGAGGAAGATTGGCCCTGAGCTAACATCTGTGCCCATCCTCCTCTACTTTGTATATGAGATGCTGCCACAGCATGGCTTGATAAGTGGTGTGCTGCTCCACGCCTGGGATTAGAACCTGTGACCCTTGCGCCGCCAAAGCGGAGCGTGCAAACCCAACCACTAGGCCACTGAGCTGGCCCCCTCCAAACCTTTTCTTTTAATTGTTAGTAATTTGCTTCTTAATTACAGTTCCAACATCCATTCTGAAAATGGAAAGATTGACTGTATTTCCTTAAGGACTATGTATTCCAGGCTATTTATTTATTTATTTATTTTTTTTTTTTTAAATTTTTTGTTTATTGCAGTAACATTGGTTTATAACATTGTAAAAATTTCAGGTGTACATCATTGTACTTCCAGGCTATTTAAATAAGCATTTATTTCTCACTCTGAAACCAATGAGAACACATTTTTATTCATTCACAGCAGCAGTCTCTACATTGTTGCTGGAAATGGAATGGATAGGTTTTACGCTTCAGCAAGTGTTTATTGAGCACAAATAGGGAGGGCTGAATTGCATTAGGCACTAGGGGGGTGGAGGGAGAGACAGTGTCTACCTTTGAGAAGCTCAGAAATAAGACGATAAGAAGTAGATTAAGAAATAAGACGATAAAGTATTCAGGCAAGAATTACGAAATATCATATAAACAAAGGCTTGCTACTTTGCAAGAAAATATGTGCAAAAAAATAAAATACCAGGAAACTGTTCTGTTATGATTTGGGGTGTAACAGTAATTACTGTGTAGTCATTAGAAGGTATACACATACCTCTCTCTACCCCAGAAATAAAAGCCACAAAAGTTTATTTCTTCTCAGATTTTCATCAATCACCTGTATGGTGTGATTATAATTTCATAGCTGGTCAAACTCAATGAATAAAAATATAAACTCTCTTTTTTTCAACCATAGTTGAGGGGGGAGAAACAAATATGGTCCACTTCACGTTAAGCCCCACTCCCAGCAAGAGAGTTATAGCATTGTTACAGAATCAATTCACACATCCTTACTTACACCTGCTGCCACCAGTTGGGAGACTACCTCTCATTTCCTGGAAATCAAAACATCTTAGAAAGGAAGGAAATAGACAGGTTTGGTTCACAGACTATGTTATCCTGGTAGCTATTTGGAAAGAAAACATGAGCCCCCTTTTCTCAGTCTCTGCCCTCAGGCTTAGCATAGATTTGCAACCAGCAGGTTCTGAAACCCCAAAAGAGAGCAGACTACACACTGGAAGACATTGGTTATTTTACTGCAATACCAGTCAGCAAAATTATCTGGGAGAAACCTGCAGTCACATTCAAACACTTGGTTTTGCTCATTTCATCCTTTGACTTATCAGGCTACTTTCAAGCTACTGGTACTGACCGTGCCTTGTAGGATTTCATTGTACGATGAGAGCTGTATTTTGTTTTGATCTCTGAAATTGTGTGTGTGTGTCTGTGTGTGTGTGTGTGCGTGTGTGTATCTGTTTTTTCCCAAGCTTGCCTCAAGGAGGCAGTGTCTGAGAACAATGTCACCCCAGCTAAGATGGCAACCTGTTTGCCTTGAATGTTAAGATGCCAAGTCAGCTGGTTGCGGGTGCTATTTGCCTGAGGAGGATGCAGCAGAGAATGGTCCTATCGCTGAAGATCAGATGTTCCCATCTGCACCAGAGAGCAATTGCATAGCAACACCTAGGGTGTTGGAGAAGGGTTAGTCACCAAGGGCAGTCAAACTACTGGGGGTCCTGGTCCCCTGCCAGGACTGCCAAGTGCCTGTGGGTCAGGTAGCCAGCACATCTGGGTGGGCACTATGTAGAAGAAGCTAACCCGATTGCCTTTACGTTGATCCTCCTTATCTGTCTGGAAACAGACATTTTCCTGTCAAGCTGGTGGGAGATGCTTACCCACTGTCATAGGGCTCATCCCAGGACCAGTCTTCCAGAGGCCAAAGGGGCTATACATTTGCTGGCCATCTTGGTAATTAAGTCTCCAGGTGTCACTTTCTCAGTCATGTTCCCGAAATCTCACTTAAGAAGGCCACAGTTCAGGCCGTCCCTACTAGTCTCCCTCCCACCAGCTTCATGCCAACTCTTCCAAAAAGACAAGAGCAAGCATCCTGTTAGGGTGACCTCCCATGTCTAGCTGCCCCACCCTTTCTCTTCTTGAGATCACTGCAGGGAAGGGCCACTGAATGAAGGGGAGAGAGCCACCCCCTAGGAAGAGTGGGGTTGTTGGATTAAAAAAAAATTGTCTTAGTCTCAGACCGACCTATTTTATTTTTAAACCTCTGCACTTTTTTTCTTTGTGAAACTTTTCACTTTAGCCTTCCTCTTTTTCTGTCATTTATCATTGCAATTATTTTGCAAACTTGAGCCTCCCTACTCATAATTCAAGAAGCAACCAGTGCTTCCATTTCCATTTCAGGATGCCAACCTCTGCCCCCTCCCCCTACATTCTACAAGTGTGCGGTCCACAGCAGAAGGATTCCAGAGAGTGTCCCTACGCCCTGCTAAGCAGCAGGATGGACAGGCATTGTTGGTGTAGTGTGTTATTTGTTTGTTTGTCTGTTTTGTTTTGTTTTTCCTGCAGGGGAAGCTAAATGAAGGTGTATGTATGCATTGTCATGCTTTTCACAGTCTTGTAGAACAAAGTTTAGGGGAAAGGAAGAGTAGGGGGAGCATAGAGAAAGCAAGAAAGACTGCTGCTGAGGAACAGACGGGGTTTCAGGGGTCCAAGGCAAACACCGAAAACCTTCTTCCTCCCTTCTCCCCCCTGGGTGGGTGCCTGAGGATCCTCCACCGTCTTCTCCCTGCTAAGCGCAACAGTTTTACGAAGACATCTATGAAAACTGAGGAGATGAGGGTTCCCATTCACATGTTCTCAAATGCCAACTCCTATTTTCGTGTCTTTAAACCAGGACTCCTGTACCTTTCCAACTGGCCCTGGTGTGGGATGCCAGTCGCCCGCTTGTGACGCGGCCCATCACTGTATCACTGTGTTTGCACCTACCTGCCGGGAAATCCTGCAGACATGTGGAATGGTGGCTTCGACACGCGCATGCTCTCCCTCTCCTGCTCGGCGAACCCTGCCCTTCCCCTGCAGTGCGCGTGGGCGCCGCCCATCCTCTCATCCCCACCCGGAGTACCAGCGCCCGGCAGCTGAGAGAGGCGCCGCGCACGTCCCTGGAGCGCCGCCAGTTGCGCCCCAGCTGAGGACCCCCCTCCCACTGGCAGGGAGGGGGCCAAACAGACGGCGGCAGCTCCGCAGCTTGGGCCTCTGCGGCAGTGACCGTGGCTAAGAGGTGTGTCCCACCACCCCCACTCAATCCCAGCCCTGCGTACCCGGGGCCAGCCCCAAACACCTCTCTAGGTCTTTTGGGCTCCCTGGGGGGGGTCTTCCTCCTCTTTTTCAAAATATAGGCGCTCACCCCACTGTCACTTCTCCCCACGGGGAAAACTGCTCCCACTCCCACCCCGTGCTGTCACCCCCGTTTCTAGACCCAAACAGCCCATTCTCGCTTCCACATGTTGCTTCCCGTCTCCCAACTGCTTCCCACTCCCCCAGGCTCCCCCATCTCCGCATCTTTCCAAGCTCTTTGCCAGTCAGTGGCAGCCAAATAGGATATTAAAGGTACCCAGAGTCCCGTGAGCTCGATAGCCATCTGGCCTCGCCTTGCTTCTTTCCCCCCTGCCCCAGGGGGTCTTTTCCTTACCTTAATGCTGGACAACAGCACTGGCATGCGGGGCGATGACGAGGTCTCTAGACTCCTCTCTGGAGCGACAACTGGACACTGCAATAGACCTGGTGCTGGACTCGGCTCCGGACAGGACTCTGGAGCCAGCTCAGGGCAGGACTCTGTGGCTGGTTCTGGTGCCGGCTCAGGGGCCGGTTCTATGGCTGGTACTGGGATCGGCTCTGAGGCCGCTTCTGGGGCTGGTTCTGGGGCCGGTTCTGTGGCTGGTTCCGGAGCCAGCTCGGGGGCTGGTTCCGTGGCTGGTTCTGGGGCCGGTTTCTTGGCTGGTTCTGAGATCAGTTCTGTGTTTAGTTCTGTGGCTGGTCCTGGGGTTGGCGCTGGGGCCGCTTCTGTATCTGGTTCTGGGATCGCTTCTGTGTCTAGTTCTGTGGCTGGTTCTGGGTTCGCCTCCGGACAGGGTTCTGGAGCAGATTCTGGACAGAACTGTGGTGCGGGTTCCGGCGACGGCGCATGGAGCAGCGGAGGAGCCTGTGGCGGCGACGGCGGCGGCCACGGCGGTGGCGGCTCTGGAGACTCCCCGGGCTGCTCTCCATCCTGAGGCGGGGCAGTGCCCTGGGCCGCGGCAGCTCCGCGGTCCATGGCCGCACACCGCCTCAGGTCGGGCAGCCCGCGCCCCTGAGCTGGGAGGGCTAAAGTATCCTCGGGCGCCCCGCCCACTCCAGTTCGACAACCCCTTGCAGGGTGCCAAACTTTCCCCCGCCCCACTTCATGGCTGGCTCCGCTCTGAGGTCTAACCCGGGGGCGCTCAGCGACTCCCAGAGTTGGAACACGCCCCTCGGTGAGCGCACACCTCTTCGTAAGCAGCCACAGGCCCGATGGGCGGGAAGCAGAGGGGCTTGCGAACGCGGACTGGACAGAGCGCTTGATGACCTCCTAACGACGCGCGGGAGGGGAGGGGGGGAGACAAAAAGGGGAGGGGGAGTGGAGCGGCGTTGGGGGTGAGGGGTGGTTGGAGCCCTGCCGCGTTTAACCCTTTAGTGACGCAAATGCAGAAAAAAAAAAAAGCCAGAGGCAACTTGAGGGTCTTGGCAATCCCCCTAACCACTCAGCTGTGAGCTGCTGCTCATAACAGCTTTCATCCTGTGTCTGCTCTCTTACCTCAGCAGCAGGTGAGCCTGGCCTCGGACCAACCACTTGCCCCCCATCTGCAAGCCTCTGTGGGCAAGTAATCTTTCTTTTTCTAACCTGGGAAAAGAAATTAAGCGGCACGGGGTTGCGGTGTGCGTGTGTGTGTGTGTGTCTGCGTGTTCAGTCCTTTAGATTGAAGTAAAATTTGCCCTCCCTCTCAGTTTTTGCATTTCTGAGCTTTGTCAGATCCGAGCGGTTTGCGGTTGGGTACAGGATTCGGGGTGCTTCGCGAAAGGTGTGTGATGAGGGAGGGCTGGAGCCCTGGCTTTCCGCAGTCTGCAGATGTAGCCTCGAGAGCAAGGCAAGAGTGCTCTGGAAGCGGCGGCTGGGCTGCGCGCTCCAGAGTGGAGGCTGCCCTGGTCTCCGCAGCAATCCGGCGTCTGTCTGGCTTGCCTTTGCCATGGGAGACTGCTGTTTGCTTTAGCTGGACTTCGCAGGCATCAGCAGGACTTTTTACTGAACTTGTTAATGTGTGTGTATCTTGGGCTGGGGGAAATTCACTGCAACACTCACACCTTTTTCACCTCTTGATACTTCCGAAGCACTCTGACATTAAGGATGGAAGATTCTCTTGCGAAAGAGCGGTGGGTCCCTGCCGCAGCACCCTTCCACCACGTAGGGAGACTTTAGAAGCTCTCTCGATTGTTAGTCACGTAGGCATACATACAAACCATCACCTCAGTCAGACCTAGACTTTAGACGCCAATATACTGCAAAATTGCAATTAAAAATCGAGAAGACCACCCTTTAAGCCACTGCTGTGTGGGGTATGCTGGAAGGAGTACCTCTAAACCTAATTTGGAATATAAGTGAATTTATCTCTGACACACATAATGCTGCAGTTGTGGGTGGCAGCCCTCCTGCAGCCCCTCCTCTTGCCCTCTCCTCCCAGATAATATCCTCCACTAATCCTTCTTTTGCCAACTGATACTGACCCACCTGGAATTTTCTAGAACCTGCAGCATTTTTCTGTTCCCTACACCACTTCCCAGCAGTAAATAATACAGCATAAGACAGTCTCACCTAGCCCCCTCCAAACACCAGAATCTCTGATGAGATCTGCATGTCCCAGATCCTCAGTGCAGCATCACAGCATAAGCCCACCCTTCTGGAGAATGGGTTACACTGCTTGGCAGCTACTAAGCTAGTGAGGGGACCATACCTCACCTCTGGAGCTGTGGAAGCCCAGGGATGTGAGCCCTCTCTATGAAGTCCCTCACTGATGTCAGGCCTCCTTCCAGTAAATCCACACAAAGGGCTCATCCTCTGCACCCTCCTTGGACTTTTTCTCCTCTCTCCTATCCCACACTCAAGCAGCCGAGCTACTTTTAACCCTAAGAGTTCAGTACTGAAACATACAGATGCCAGATTTGACCAGCCGGTAAGCCTACACTTGGGGCTCACTTCTCAGGCTTTCAGACTTTGGTGAACTCTCTATCCTTAGAAGGAGCCAGTATCTCACATTTAAATCTTGTTTTTGCTAACCCCTGGCATATCGTTAGAAGGGCTGAAGGTGGAGGAGTCACTGAGTATGGTGGCCCTCCTGGGTTAGAGAGCGATGGGGTGGGGTTTGGCATAAACCGGGTGTTGTCAAGCAGGACACCACCAGGGGACAACTTGGAGCTACTGCTTTATATATGTTCATTGATAGTCTTGTCTGTAATTCTTACTTAATCACAAGGAATCCAAAGTTTATCATGTAAACTCTTGCTGCAAGGCCAGTTTGAGGTTGAATGCTAAAATAGTTGTTTGTGCTACTTTTTGCTTCATTAGGGTGGGTTACCAAAGATATACTGCCTGGATTGTATTATAATTAGTTTAATTAAAAATTTCTCAGCACATCACAAGCTGCCTTATTGCCTTACGTTATACCAAGGTTTTCTTTTTCTTTTTAGTCTCTCCTCAGCCCAGCATCGAATACAATGCTTTACGTGGGACCATGGAGGGGGGTGGGCAGAGAGTGGTGAAAGTGAGTGGATTGGTGCCTGACTTGGGAGGCACCATTGCTGTATCTTATCTACACCTTCCTCTCCCCCGTAGTCTGCTGGTCTCTTAACAGAGAAAGCTTTACTTAGATGCTTGTGTATTTTCCTCAAAACCTAACCTGGGGCTGAGGGCATAGTAAGGATTCAGGAAATGTCTGTTAAATGGGTGATTCATTGCAGCTTACGGGTTAGGGTGTCTTTTTTTCTGCATTGCTTTTTAACAGTATTTGATATTTCAGATGATTGATGATCTCCTAAGAGGCTCTTTTCTAATTGAACAATACTGACATAAAAGCCAAGAGCTACCTAAGAAAAAGAATGATGACCATCTCCACAGAGGCTTGAGTGGACATGGTTCTGGATGTCCCAGGGCAGACATGGTTCCTAACCTGGAACTTTTGAGCATGTTATATAAGTTACCCAATTGCGCTGGATGAGGGCTTAATCATACAATGGGCTCATGTCTTTGAGTATGCAATGTGCTACCTCACCCCCACCCCCAGCGTTTATCCTGATTCCACCCAAAATAAAGTCCATCCAAGCCAGCACAGAGATCTTTTGATTTCAGGCATGCCAGGAGTTCGGGAGAGGCAAAGGAGAGAAAACCTGAGAAATGTGGCAAAATTAATACTCCTATTCCTCCTTTTGCTTTTCATTTTCTTTTCATTGTTGAATGAGAGAGTGACATTGCAGAGCTAGAGAGGAGGCCCTTTTTTCCTTGATCAATAGCATCAATTTTCTTAAACCCTCCCTTTTAGAGCAATTTAGGGAAGAAATAGGTGCTTTTCCTGAGTCTTAGCAGCTGCCAATCTCCCCCACTCCTGCCACCTCGGCAACGTGCAAGGCTAAAATGGAACATTTATAATATTCTACTAAATAAAGAGTTGAGATGAAGAACAGAATTTATGGAGAAGGTAGAGGATTCAGACAATTAATTTAAATGGGATTTACATGCAAACCTGTTATCTTTCACTCGCTCTAGTCTCCTAGGATTTAATTGATACAAGATTGGGAGTTAAAAAGTTAATACCTTGCATTCATATGATGCTTTTGATTTTTAAAGCACTTTCACATATCTCACTTGAGCCTCACCACAGATGTGTGAGGCAAAGCAAGTCTGGACTTCCATCCCACATCTCTACCCCCTAACCATTTACAGATGAGAAAACACAAGTCCAGTGAGATTAAGTGATATGTCTGGGTCACAGAGATAATTAGTGGTGGAACAGACATTTAGAATTTGTGTCGCTTAACTCCCAGCTGAGAGACACCAGAGCATAGTGCTGAGTTGGGGGTTGTGAGGCAGGGGCTGTGTAAATCCTCTAGATTACGAAGTGGGAAGTCTGCCTTAACACCCTTCTATTTCTCGAGCCTGTAAGAGGAGCAGTGATTCTTACATTTTTACCTTGAGGTTTCTCCACTCTCACTCTCTCTTTCTGGATGGTAGTTAATGATCTGTAACCAAGCTCACTATAGGAGGTTCTTGTTTAGAGGAACCTTTTCGAATATGTTTGTAATATAATAATCCATCCAGAGTGTACTTGTTTTGTTGGTTCTGTTTTTATATTTTCTTGAAGTGAAGCACTCCACAGTTAAGATGCATTTACTACCAATCTGAGGTGTATACAGCTCTTTTAGGTGCGCTGGGGAAGGAGAAGAGGGGGCAGAAATATTAGACATGATCCCTTCCCTCAAGAGTTACTAGAAATTGGTGGTTGAGATAAGCCAAATACAGGTGAAAAACAATCCACCCACAGATGCCAGTTTATAATCATGACAGCGCACTTTGTACTTGCATGTGTGGGGTGGGATGGTAGGGAAAAAATGTGACAGTGTGGAAAGAAAAGTGCAAAAGGAGTCAGGAAATCTGGCTTCAGATTAAGTTTCTACTACTAAATTCACAGCATGACCTTATACAAATCATTTAATATCTTTGGGCCTCAACTTTTCTCATCTGAAAAATGAGGATGGGGTAAAGTTGAACTTAATCAGCTAACTTTAAAGTCTGTTATGGCACAAAATATCAGCAATACTGTGAATGAATCAGTAAAAGCTTCTTGGAAGGGGGCATATCTTGAAGTGGGTCTTGAGTGATGCAGCTAATATGGATCAGCAAGGAGGAAGTGGAAGCGCGTTACAGGCAAGGAGAGGGACAAGAATTAAAACCTGGTGGTGAGAATACACCAGGCTGGTTGAGGTAGAAGGACCATACCAAAGATTAATGAAAGATGAGGTTAGAGCAGAGTAAGTGGTAGGAAGAAGGGGAGATGTAAAAAGGCTTTGAATGCCAGACTAAAGCATTTGAAAAATTGATTTTAAAGGTAATTGGGAGCCAATGAATATTGTTTGAGTACAGGGATGACATGGTAAAACCACAGTGAGAAAAATTATCCTTGACAGTGTACTTGGTCCTGGAAGCATCTACAAATCTACTTTGTTCCTCTTAAGCTGGTATCCAGTTAATTC